GTGTAATTAATTAAATAGTTATCTCGATACACGAGCGAGTGGATTAACAAGGTCAGGGACTGCAGTGGCTATGCCAGCATGCGCCGTTATCTGCTGCCCTGATAGCCGATATCTGCTGTCCAGATAACCGTTATCGGCCCCAGCAGGCAATGTATGGTTGAATCGACGTTGAGACAACAAAACTCGCGACGTAGAAATAACGTTGAATATTAGTTTAGAATTAAACTTTAATCAGCGTAATTTTTTCAACGTCGTTCATTTCGACGTTATTTCAACGTTAAAATCGCATTGACATCTGAAGGAAAAATCGCGAATATATATGCGATTTTATTGCCAACGTTAAAATGTTAAGCTCAGGAACAGTTACGTGACAGAGTTGCGAACAACCGTCAGTAGTTGGTGCTCCCAGCATCCGTACTTGTCTTCAGGAATTGACGTTGCGTGACGGATGAGCGCTCTGATCGATGAGGTCACAAGCATCAGTGCGGCTGTGGCCATTAAATGGTTCATCAAAGATTGTTTGTTCACAGTCGTGATATTGTTCATTATTCACTAAAAATAAGTGACGATTCACGCATCCGCCTGCCACGTCATTGAAATGGACGTCAACTGTCTGGGCCTGCTCCTTTCCCCATATAATTCACTTTTGAATTTTATTTGCCATTTTTTCAAATTTTGATCGGGCAAATGAAGAACGCAATTGAAGCGCAGAAGACAACAAATAAGACGGAGAAGAACTACAATCGATTAATTTCTCCAACCTGATAAACTGTGTGGTAATTTCAGTTCTGTTTATGTGCTGATTCATGTTGATGTTAAAGCTCTAGTCTTTAAATATCGACCTTAAAAAATAAAAAGTGTTAACTGTGACTCATTATGCGATTATTTATTATTTATATTTGAATGACCAAAGCCCAAGCTATTGAATTTACTGATGCTTAGTTATCCAATTTGATTCTACTAATGGAAATGTTCGCAATAACTCGAGCAGTTCGACACAGCAGGGAAATACGACTTGGCAACTCAACTCATTTGTTCTTGAAACGAAGGAACAATAATAAAGCCCAGACTTGGCAGCTCGAATCATTTATTCATGAAACAAAGGAAGAGCAATGAAGCAAATCGAATCACGAACAAAGTAATCATAACAATAATCTATAGCTTATGATCAATATTAGTGAATAATTCATGAAAGCAATAGCGAGCACTCGCGCACTCGCCGCTGAGGTATCACTACACTGCTGGATCACCGCAGTTGCATTACTGCACTGTTAACATATTAATATAATGAGGCGAATAAGTCATCCCAGTGAATTTGAGTGGTGAATAACTCATTGCAGTGAATATGAGTGGCAAATAACTATTTGCGGCGAATATGTAATCAATAACAATGCCGCCTGCACGTGGCAAACATGGACTCATTACATGGATAAGGGCTTGCCATGCTTAGCCGTCGGCATGGCTTGGCAGGCGAGCAATAAAGCTCACGAGGCCTTCCAACCTGGAGAACAAACGTGGAACTCTTAACTAATTTAGACATATCAAAACAATCGTAAATATTCAAGACAACTAGGTGATGCAGCACCTGAAGTGGGATTTTATCAAACATGGTCATTAACGTGGAAAGCATGAAGCCCTCAAGCGAAAAGTTCAACTACAATTAATATATTATTATGACTAACTGCTTTCAACGTCACAGGACAGCTGGCATGCATAAACAACCCACGGATATAGCAGGCTATGACGGTCAGTCCGCCCCTTTATAACGCTGGGTCCAGCAATGAAGGAACTCCAGAACCGGCGCCACTTCTCGTTCGCTGGTCCACGTCAAGGACAGTCACAGGTCGTCGCAAATACGAAGGCGGCGCCAGCCATATCTGTAGATAATAAATGGACGTCACTGCGTCGACCCGCGCGCCGTGAATATGGTGAATGTAAATTAACACACTGCACATCATCTCTAAAGTAGCCTTACGTAACCCCACATCAGGCATAAGGAAGCAATGTGCGCCTTCAATACTTACGATTTTCGGCTTTAAATTCAAAGTCCATCCAATTGTAAAATTTGGTGAAGCCTTCTAAATACCACACCATCTCTCACTACAACCGTCCTAACCCCACTCTATCAACCACTAAAGCCGTCCTAACCCCACACTTCCTCCCACTACGGCAGTTATAACCTCACACCATCCATCACTACAGCCCTCCTAACCCCACACCATTCCCCACTACAGCCCCCCAACCCCACACATCCTCACTCGTCGATGTCGCTGCGCGTGACGCCCGCGTCGCTGGTCCTTATCCCCTCCTGGTGCAGGCGCGCCAGCAGCCGTCGCTCCCCCTCCGCGCTCAGCTCTCGTCTACTCAGTTTAATGGCATCGTACCTGCGATACAATATAATACCATTAAAAATAAATGGATAAATTCATTCTACTGACAGCGAGAAGGATTAATTGGACCATATAAGGTCTATTAGGACCCTCTCATTTCTCTTAATAATGTTTCCTAATATCCCCGCGGTTGGAAATAAGGAGTCATTCCCCCGCCCCTCCGGCAACTCTGCGGCTTCCCTGCCCCAAGGGCGCGACAAGGAGGAAATGCTGCGACGTCAACATGATATTGCTACTGCGTTTAGCGGTCAATCATGATGCCGCGGTCAATAATTGTTAATTGAACAGAATAAATTATATATAAATGTTACGCGACTATTCATTCGTAACTGCATATACCATATAACCTGTCGTAGCATCAAAGGTGGGCGAACAATATTGTTAGTTATGAGTCCGCACGTTCCTTCTTAACAAATATGGCGCACCGTTACCTTGTACCAGTATTTATACCAAGCTATATAATACTTCTGTTTATTGTGTCAGGCGCAAATTGATCCCCCAATAATGGATGTCCAGCCAACAGACGACGACCTTTCGCCTGCCATCATCCTGCCACGGAACTAAAATATCAGTAATGATAATCAATGCATTTTGTGATGCTTATGTAAACAGAATATTATTTTGTATTTTAAGTTGGATGGACTGATAACATCAGGCCCACATCAGGCAACTACACAACTGACCTCTTACTGCTGGGTGCATAAGCCTGCACCGTCTGGGCCACAGCCTCCCAGCTCCCCGCCGTCCATCCCAACACGAATAGCCGGGGAGGAGGCGTGTCTGGTAGTGGCACTGCTAACACGGCAGTGTCAGTCACTGGCGTAAAAACACCTGTTGGGAGAAAGGAAATGAAGTTTACTGGTCAATCTCCACCATTTTCCCTAAATTTTCTATGAGATAAGTTTATTTCCTTTTATTCAAACCGTCATCGCCATCGTTGGTGCTGATCATATGGTGGGATGGTAAATTAAGTGTAGTGATGCAGATTATTCCTCCAACGAACGCTGTCTGCTGGCACAGATTCCAAACGTCATAGAGCCTTCAGCAGACTATACGCACGGCCTCTTACACTGCTTAGCAAACCTGCACCTGCACGTCCTTATGCACTGCTTAGCAAGCCTGCATGCCCTTGTGCACTGCTTAGCAAGCCTGCATGCCCTTGTGCACTGCTTAGCAAGCCTGCATGCCCTTGTGCACTCCTTAGCAAGCCTGAACGCCCTTGTGCACTCCTTAGCAAGCCGGCACGTCCTTTTTAATTGTGCACTCCTTCCCAGTCAAAAATCAAAGGCGTATCGCCGGCGTTGTATAATAGATTTAGGTAGAGACGATCGCTTTGGGCGCCTGAGTAACATCTCCGCATCATCGGCGAAGTGTCCACTTTTTAAGCGCGACGGTCCGCTCTTAAACGGCACGCGGCCGCGGTGCGTTTCATTGACTGATCGCGCGCGGCAGCGCCTGTATCATAGGCGCAACGTGCATGAAACTCCGGCGCAACTTTCATGGCCGCCTCTAACTATTAAAAAGAAACCTCGGCGGTATATCGCCGAGATTATTGCCTCTGCACTACCATACTGGATATGCATACACATTCATGTGAACGTGCATAATATACACGCATTATATTATACATTATATTATATTATACTTTTAATATATAATACTTTTAATATACATATACGCATTATATAAGTATATTATATAAGTATAATATACGCATTATATTATACTTTCAATATACATTAAAGACTGCAACACAGCATTCACAGCAACAGGTGATTCCTTATCTATGATTCCAGGTGATTCCAGCAGTCTATGCGCTCACAGCAGCACGGATGTTTCTAGAGCAACACAAGTGTTGCCAGAGCAGCACGATTGTTGCTAGAGCAGCACGCTTGTCGCTAGAGCAGCACGAGTGTTGCAAGAGCAGCACGATTGTTGCTAGAGCAGCACGCTTGTAGCAGCACGCTTGTCGCTAGAGCAGCACGCTTGTCGCTAGAGCAGCACGCTTGTCGCAAGAGCAGCACACTTGTCGCTAAAGCAGCACGCTAGTCGCTAGAGCAGCACGAGTCATCATCTTCCACACAGCAGGAGCTGGTCTGGCTTTTTTTTCTTTTATATATATAAAACGATTGGAAAATTGTTATAATTGAAATATTTTGGTAATTGTAAATGAAAAAATCGAGAACAATATTGAATAAAATGATTACAAAGTAATAACAGCTTTCCCATAAACAAAATTCGGGGTATGCTTCAGCCTCCGCCCCAGAGTTGCTATGCTCGCGTAAGAGTTATTCTGTGTCAGTTGGCCAACTGATCGCAATCAGCGACTAGTCAGAACCTCCTTGCCGACTTTAGGGCAAGGAGGCAGAGAGGTTCTGAGTAGGGCAAGAGAGTAGGGCAAGAGTTGGCAGAATAAGTACCAGGCGCTGGCAGCTGTTTGATTCGGGGACCGGAATGTAGACCGAAACGCGGACATAGATATGCTGGTGGACTATGCTCCCCGACTCCTAGGCGTCCCTAATCTATAGTCGCCCTCAGCTCAAAATTTTGTTAGGGTCATTATGAGAAATCTCTCATCCAACGCACCACCAATAAGTATCAATGATACTCCTAACAACGACACTGATATTCCCGCTGGTAATACTGACTGAGGTAATTATATTTTCCCCGCAGGGCGCAGAGGTCCAGCGGAGCCTCGAGGCGGATGAGCAGCTCCGCTGAGGCCGCGACGGCTGCCAGAGCCGTGACGCCTGCAGCCGACCTGATGCCGCCATCGAAAAGCACAACTCTGCACCTGCAGGAAGTTCATAATATTCCCGAAGTTAGACCGAAGAAAACCTTGACTCTGCACCTGAAGGTCGTTCACAATATTCCTGAAGTTGAACCGAAGAAAACCTCAACTCTGCACCTGAAGGTGGTTCATAATATTCCTGAAGTTGGCCTGAAGAGAACCTTAACTCTGCACCGGCAGGAAATCATAATATTCCTGAAGTTGGCCCGAATAATACCTTAACTCTGCACCTGCAGGAATTTCATAATATGTCTGAAGTTGGACCGAATAAAACCTTACCTCTGCACCTGCAGGAAATTCATAATATTCCTGAAGTTGGACCAAAGAAAAGCTTAACTCTGCACCTGCAGGAAGTTCATAATAATCCTTATGTTGGACCGAAGAAAACCTTAACTTTGCACCTGCAGGAAGTTCATAATATTCCTGAAGTTGAACCGAAGAAAACCTTAACTCTGCACCTGCAGGAAGTTCATAATATTCCTGATATGTTGGACCGAAGAAAACCTTAACTTTGCACCTGCAGGAAGTTCATAATATTCCTGAAGTTGAACCGAAGAAAACCTATACTCTGCACCTGCAGGAAGTTCATAATATTCCTGAAGTTGGACCGAATAAAACCTTAACTCTGCACCTGCAGGAAGTTCATAATATTCCTGAAGTTGGACCGAATAAAACCTTAACTCTGCACCTGCAGGAAGTTCATAATATTCCTGAAGTTGAACCGAAGAAAACCTTAACTCTCCACTTGCAGGAAGTTTATAATATTCCTGAATTTGGGCCAAAGAAAATCTTAACTCTGCACTTGCAGGAAGTTCATAATATTCCTGAAAACGGACTGAAGAAGAGCTTGATTCTGCACCTGCAGGAAGTTCATAATATTCCTGAAGTTGGACCAAACACAAGAAAATACACGTAACTCCACAGCACGGGCGCCTCGGGCTTTGGAGTGTGGGTGGCGTATAGCCACGATGAAAAATCTGATCATGGATAATAAATAAATAATGCAGAAAATAATTACATTAACAATGAAGTTAAATATATATTATGATAATTTTTATTCTAAATAATAATGATAATGATGTGAAATAATTAAATATTAAAAAAATGAAACATGCGTGGCAGCAAATTATTTCCTTATTCATATTATTCCTTATTACTAATTCCTACCTTATTTATTATTCATGGTTTTCATACAAATTTTCTTCGTGATCCTGGATTTTTTTAACTTCAAATAAAAGTTTATTTGTTTACTGTTTTTTATTAAGTCTAACATTACAAACCAGGAAAAATTGTCGGATCAGGCTGGTACTTAACCTTGCCATGCAAAACGGACCTTATTTTCGTTTAAAAAAGGTGTAATAATTGATACTAAAATAATTAATACGGAAATATTTATTTATTTTACTGAAATAATGACAATAATAATAATGTGATGATACACAGTAATATCGTAACTATTTAGTTTTTCCAACATTTTTATTGCATTAATATCTAGTAGTTTGTTCATTATTGTAATAACTATATTAGACCATTAATCTATTGATATTATAATAGAATAATTATAATAATATAATCACATTAAAGACTAAAAGGTGAGCCCAGTGGCGCCTGGGAGACAGCTTCTCAGCTGCCTCGGGACTTCATCCAACACCACATCACAGTTAAAATTTAGGGCAGGGAATAGAGCAGGCCGTTGCCGGATGTAGAGCTGATATAGAGACGCGACAGAGTAGCGATAGAGCAGAAATATCCGCATTAGAGACGATATTGCCAGCCGCGTAGCAGCGCTAATTAACATCTGAGTACCTGCCTAAATGTGATCTGTCCTGCCAACATGCAGCCCTCACTGAGCACCGCCTGCTCAAACCAGCCCAACGCCTGCTCTGGGGCGGCTCTGGCAGTGTACGCAGCAGTTACGCGTTACCGTTTGTTAATAACGATTTATTTCCTTCACTCACTGAGATCACCTAGACTTCTCTCTTGCAATGACAGGTTGTTTTGCCATTGGTTTTTGACATTCACATCGTATCGACTTTAGCAAAGTTAATTAGCAACTAACAAATTAAATTATCGAGGAAATATACACATCAAAGTACTTACCGCTATGAACTATCTGCAAACGTCGACGGCAGCTCCGAGAATCGAACGTAGATCCTCCGCGTCGTATTCCACGCCTGTACCGGCTTGACCGCGCGAACACCTTACCAGCCCAGGCTCTATGAACTACTTAACTATAATATAGAACAAATGACTCGTCATCATCTAGCAATCGAGGAATAGCATATTTGTGGTTGAACTTGATAGATATTATTCATAATGCACTAATATCTATAAATGAAACAAGTAGCCATTCGTATGATCCCGTCAGTTAGATGTAAGTTAGTATTATAGCTAAATTTGTTTAGTGGTTTATCTTATTTGCATTAGCTTCATGTCATTCGATAACTTGATAGGAAAATTAACAACGTACTAAAATCATTAGTCTGCTGAAATCGCAAGTTCTCCAAGAGTTTTGATGCAAAGGAAGCGCCAAATAAATTCACCATATCTTCAATGAAAACGTTTCGGAGACCAGNTTAACGCGTGTTCTGTAAATCCAAGTTAGAAAACTTTCTCATGATAAACTGATTGATATCTCGCTTTAGCAATGCGTGAATGACCGTCAACGTTTCTGTTTGCGTGTTAAAACTGGAAGAGCAAATAAAATTCTTACGTAATTCAGAGTATTAAAATACTGACGTGAAATAAATATCATAACCGGCACCATAAATTGACCCAAAATATCGTACTATGCGAATGAACTAGATGGAGGATGAAGTTCATTCTCCCGCCACTGTTTCCCAACCCTTACCCCTCCTCCCTTTCTCAAAACCCCCCATGCACGGCCTGCATAGCTGCTCTATTCAGTTCGCTGCATTTCAATCCAAGTACCAGCGCTACAGCAGCGCAGAGTTCCGTCCCTGCCAAGCTGTTAGAATTTGTCTCTATACTAGCCATGGGGCAGGCCAGTTTTAAGGATAGATGGCCAGTTATAGTTTCACAGCTCCATCCTCCTAAAGCGCGACAAGCCCGGCTAAACCCGTCGCCTTTTTCGGCTCAAAATTTTAACTGGGATGCATGACCATTGATAACATTAAACTCATCCAACACCACATGCTTGACCATTGATAACATTAAACTCGTCCAACACCACATACATGACCATTGATAACATTAAAATCAATACATTTATCGTGCAAGGCAGGAGCGGAAGAGTTGACGCCTCACCTGCTGACGACCAGCGGCTGAAGGAGGTCGTCGCAGGGCAGGAACTCTGAGCTCTGGACTGGAAGATGGAGCCACAAGTCCCCGCGGTGGTACCGGGTAATCTGCTGCCACGCGGGTGTCCTCAAAACTTCCGGTGACGCCTGCACCGTCACGCCCAAGTCTCCAGCGTGCGGTAGCATCAGGGCAACCGCCTCTAGGTCACGGCCTGCGTGATACGCGCTTGTAAGAAGTTGCGGTGTACTTTATTTCATGCCTGATAACGAAACAAAGAGCTTTTCTTAATAAATAACAGTCAGTTGACTCGCAATTAAAACTCCGCTGAACAGCGTCTGACTTTTCGCATGCTGAATTACGTTCATTTAACAGGTTCGTTTAAATGCACAAACAAGCGCGCATCTCACCGCACGATATCATGAACTCCCTGTCCTCCACCCTGGTTGCCTGCGCGGCTGTGATGGCGAGCCTCGCCTCGTGGGGGCGGCACAGCAGCGCCTCCCGCCAGTCCTGCGCTGAGGCGCCCGCTTCCTGCATGAAGCGATGCATTTCTGGCCACTGCGCCTCGAAGTCATCAGCATTGATGCAATGCAGTTGCGTGAGGACTTGGCCTACGCCCTTCACAATCCTGTAAGTGGAGGAGACATGAAGAAGTCCGCTCCCCTAGTAACAATTCAACAATGGGTCCATGTCGGGCCCATGCGACAATGTGGAAAGAGGTGGCATTATGGTTTTAACATCTGAGGCCCGCATTGCTGCTATCTTACTCAGAGGCTGCGTGACATTGTTATGTGGCTACAACATTGTACAAATAAAGTAGAACCAGTAAAGAAATCAGTGTTGTTGTGCCATATTGAGTTCATGTGGCAAACCAAGATAATACTAAAAAACCAAGTGTTAGTCTCTATGTTGATATACTAAACAACAATTAGTGAACTCAGACACAGGAAACTTATTGGACAACAAATATTTTAGTTAAAAAAAATTATTTTAGTTATAACTCAAAAATTTTTAATGATCTCATATCAAAATAGGACTATTTGTGTAATGATCGGCAAATAATTCAATAGAATAACATGAATATTAATTTAGAGAATTTCTTTCAACTTGAATTGCCTGAAAGTTTAAGTCATGAGATACGTAGCGAATTGTCTATAGGCCACTTGCACTTGAATTTATAGTTTGGAAATTACATCATGCACTTGAGTTGTGATTAAAAAGAATTCTTTCGAAGGCAGCGTGGAGTTTGAAAGTGTAGCCGTCCCATGGGCACTCGGACAACGTTCGTTTGAACGATGAACGAACGAGTCGGTCCGATAACAAATACCTTAGTTCATATAATTTATTTTAGTTCATAAATCGAAAATTGTTAATGATCTCATATAAAAATACGACTATTTGTGTAATGATCTGCATATAATTCAATAGAATGAGATGAATTTTAATTTAGGGAATTTCTTTCATTTGAATTGCCTTAAAATTTTAAATCATGAGATACGTCGCGACTTGTCTATAGTCCACTTGCGCTCGAATTTATAGTTTAAAATTGCATCATGCACTTGAGTTGTGATTAAAAAGAATTCTTTCGAAGGCAGTATAAAGTTTGAAGGTTCAACTGTTACGCGGGCACTCATGCAGACGATGTCCGTTTGAACGAAGATCGAACGAGTCGTGCCGATCTGGCCATGACTAGCTTCCAGTGCTAGTAGTGTTATCAGTCGTGCAGTTACGAGTATACTCATGGAAAGTTTTCCACCTAAGTGCTCATGTTTCCTGTAATATTTCTGTGTATCTAATTACCATGTACTGTGTCACTAAGAGAGTGATTAGAGGAGTTCTCACGTTTTGCAAGGCAGTATAAAGATTAAAGGTGCAATTAACCGTCACGCGGGCACTCGTGCAGACGACATTCGTTTGAATGACGAATGAACGAGTCGTGCCGATCCATGACTCGCTTCCAGTAGTGTCGTCCCTCGTCAGTCGTACAGTTACGAGTATACTCGTGCAAGGTTGTAATTCTAAATGCTTGTGTTTCCTGTAATTTTTTTGTGTATTATAATTACCATGTACTCATTGTACTGTGTATCTAGGAGAGTGATTAGAGGAGAGCTCAGGTTTTGTGCGGCAATGTGATCTGTGATAGAAATGTGCTCGAGAAGCTGTCAGTAAGTAAAGCCAAATTTACAAGCCTTGCCATTTGAAACAGGGCACACCTGCTCTGAAAATTTCAGAGTTCTGAAGATATTCCGACAATGATTTCTTCTATTTCAGGAATGCATGGCATGATGGCAGTACTGCAGTACACGTTCAGTTCAGTTGTGAGCCGGTGAGGAACGCAGCCGAACGCTGGTACTGGTAGTGTTTCGGTTCATATATAAAAGTTTAGGGGTTTATTGTGTATAAATGAAATTATTGACTCATCAGGACAACTTTACTGTTAGCAAGAAATGGTTACATTATTAGAAAGACATTGTTCATGAAATTATTCACTTGCGCTTTGCCCCTGACAAACTTACTGGTGAATTTCGTCGAGTGCTACTGCTAGTGCTAGTCAGCGTAGCCCCTAAGCTGAGCTAGACTACCGTCCCTAAGCTAGGGACGGCAGCCGCAATGACCAATGACGTTCAGTGATGCAGTAGAATTAATACTAGTACAAGTATTCCTTATTTATTGTTATTATTTATTATTATCATTGTTTCTCAATGTTTATTATCATTATTTATCAAATATTATTATCATTATTTTAAATTTATTATCATTTATTGTTATCAGTTACCTATTACTTTCCCATCATTTTTTCATCGTTTTTCCATCATTTTCCCATATTTTTTCATCATTTTCAGCAACATTATTTCCTCATTTCCCCGTCATTCTCCTATCATTTTTTATTCATTTTGCCATCATTTCTCCATCATTTTCTTATCCTTTTCACATCGTTTTCTCATAATTTTCCCACCTTTTTCCATTTCTTTTCCCATCATATTCTCATTATTTTCCACATCATTTTTCTCATTATTTTTCCATCACTTCCTCATAATTTTCGCATCATTTTCTCATCATTTTCCCATACTTTTTCCATGATTTTCCAATCATTTTTTTATATTTTTTCCATCGTTTCTCATCATTTTTTCAGCACTTTTTCATTATTTTCCCACAATTTTCTCATCATTTTTCGACCATATTTCATTCATTTTCCACTCACTTTCCATTCATTTTCCATTCATTTCCCCGTCATTTACCCGTAATTTCTCATAATTTTCCCATCAATTTCACATTATTTTTCCATCATTTTTCCGTTATATTCCCAATATTTCACAACCATTTTCCATCCGTTTTCCCATCATTATCTCGTCATTTTTCCATCGTTTACCCATCGCTTACTCATCATCATTAATCTATCGTTACCTATCGTTTGCCCATTATATAATGAATGGATTAATCCATTCAATAATGGGTTACTGAACCCATTTGCATCATTAATTCATTCATTATTCTTTCGTTATTCATTCATCATTCATTAACAATTCAATCATCATTCAGTCTTTATTCATCCATTCATCATTCAGTAATCAATCATTCTATTCATATTATCAATCATCCGTCATTCCATTCATTAACATTATTGATTTTTCAGACAGTTGTCAAAAGTCATTATTAAGTCATTATTATTTAGTCATTTTCAAGTAAACATTTTTTTCGCAGTAAACTATGTCAAGAGTCAGAAAAGTTCAAGAGGATTTCCGACAATGGGAGAGAGAAAGAACATCGCATTGTTGTGTGTCTGAGAGATATGGATTTTGTCATACTATCTACTCAGATATACTTCATTCTACTCTTCGTCAACCTCTTTACGTCATCAATCCTCATTGAATGTGTGGGGTATTGAAATGAACAACGGTTTGCCTACAAGTGCGCCTTCGTTTAAAAGTTCTTGTAGCCGTATTCCTGCCTCAAGATTTTGCCAGTCTTCAATAACGAAAAATGAGCCACCCATTTACCAGGACAGAATAAGACCGTTTCAAAAAAACTATTCATGGGCAGAATATATGAACGCCAAATCATTAAGCTCATCAATCATTTTCCATCATCGGCACTACTACCGTCACTACTGCAACCAATGCTGGTATGTACTAACAATGGTGGATATAACGTATATGTTTTATGTACGTCTTCATTGAAGTCTCACCGATTTGGTCGGTTATTCATGCTATTATCCGCAGTTTGAATTCTGTATGAAAGACATCATGTACTGTAAGAATTTTACGGAACATACTTCTCCCGTGTACATAAGGTTGGGACCTTTTAGGTAGAACCAGAGTTGATGAGCTCGGGCAAAATTCAGTTTTAACAACACTTGACCTAGATTGTTCAGCAATTTGGTACGTGAGCATAT